AAAATAATCCCACTGTGCATTCCTTGTAAGTGTATCAATATGAGCTGGACACTATTTACAGACATAGAGCTCCGTTCCCTTGGTTGAAGGGAGGTTCTTAAACCTAAACCAGAGTAGCTCAGCTGGGAGAGCTGAAAGTACCAACATCAGGTATTTTCAGCCTTTCTTCCATCTAGACCATAAATAAACCTTGTTCATTCCAGAGTCACAGGGCACAGGCAGCATGTCACAGCTGTTGGAATAGCTGTGTCTCTTTTGTAAGGCTTTTAGTGTAGGTGGTGTGTTTATCCCACCGGTCACGCTGAGGCAGCCACCATGGGGCCTCAGCCCTCCTCGTTGAGTGTTGGCTGAGTTTGCCCACGCTATGCTCTCCACTGTGCGCTGTCTGTCTCTCCCGGTACCCAAGCTGTCAAGTATCTTCACAGGAAACCTACAGGAGGAGGGGCGCAGAGAGGGGACATCATTTTCACTAAATTACAGAGCAAGTATGACCCTCACACTAATTCTTTTTCCCACCCTTGGGGGAATTATGAGGTAAGTCTGACACCTTGACTGGTCCATAATGAGCACAGACACAGGCAAAGCGGAGAGACAATAAACTTCAGAGGGTAATACCTCGGCTTAAGTGACATTTCACTATACCCCTGCAGAGCCACTGATAAGGGGATACAATCTCAAATTGGTCTGCTTGTCTTAGGCGACAGGTGATTGATATTTCAGCAGAAGAACAAAAGAAGTTTCTAACTAGCTCAATACACCTGCGTAGCTGGGTGAAATGAAACGCAATCCTTCGCTCAGTGACGACTGCAAGTCCCCTCTAGCTGCAATTTAAAACTTTTTGTGAACCTACAGCAGGAAATTTGAGATCAATTATCATTTCAAGCAGTTTATCTGTGCTGACTAAATATTTAAATTAATGCAAATGGTACTCCCACAAAGGTTCGTGGCCATGGGATCTCTGTCGTAACCTAGTCCCACTCAGCGCTGTACCTAGTGTTTAAGCAAATTATTCTTCAGAGCCAGTTCGCTCATTGCAATTCTTTGGTTATGGCAGTGCAGGTAACAATGGTTCCTGCAATAGAATTTTAGATGAAGCCATTAAATGTGAAGGTTTGCTTTGGAATTGGTATATTGCTGAGTTAATATCCAATGGTGGAATGTAACTGAGAACATAAACTCAAATACTGCACAGTATTTGATTAATCGATTATCAAAATAGTTGTCGATTTCTTTTCTGTAGATCAACTAATTGATTCGTCGACTAATTGTTGCAGCTCTAATTTGCATACAAATATGCCTGTATTACCATATCATTGATATGGCCAGTTTTAAAAACCAGCTGTTCTTCACTATATTGACATTTATTTATTTTCTTCTTCTATTGGTTTCCTTTTATTTACATATTTGAAAGCTGTAAACAGGGCTGATGGCAGCGAAGACTGGAACAATAGCCGAGAGACATGATATCATCATATCTAAGGTGCAACATTCCATCTGTTTGCTGTGTTTGTGTGTTGCGGTGAGGACAATAACAAGGTACGTTAGTTGGGCTGTTAAACGTCAACAAGCCTCTTCGGGTGCAGCTTCCTATTTCTCCCACATAACATTATCATTGGTGAAGCAGCTGTAGATGTCGGTCCCACTGCTTAGCCAGTAAGATGGATGTCCTGCACTTTACTGACAGCAGATATTCCATTATATCAACCAGCAGTCACCGTCTCCTTCCCTGAATTATTACCAGCCCTGTTACTTGCCTCAGCATCAAATTGGCTTAGCCAGTAAATGAAGGATTTGAATAATACATTCCACCTATCTGCCTCCTTTTCTTCTGCCTGGACTTCATTTAGATTTACATGAAGCATTACCACCCTCTCCAATGCAAAACAAGTGAAATCGCCTGATATCCAAAGCAGAACTGCTGTCATTTCTATCTTTCTTCACTTAGAGCTAAGTATAAGAAAATCTATATTTCAGTTACGTTTGCATGCTCTTAACTGGATTAAAATGTCTCGGATCAGTGGTGCTGTTGGTCTGTTTTGCTCGTATCTATACCAAAGCAATACTGGGAGTGTACTGAGCAGCTGAAATTTCCCGTACAGTTCTCTTTTGGCAAAGATCCAGTAGCTATTTGTTCAAGCACTCAATAAATTCAAAAAATACATTATTCACAATTAAGTTGAAGTATCAATTTCCACTTCAGCTTTATGTTGACACAACATTTAAAGTTGGCCCCTCCTCCCCCCGACTCAACGACACCAGAAGCACACGCCCCCTGACCGCGGTAGAACACCACCCGATGTAGCACCTGCAGCGTCGCACACGGCAGCGAAAGAGAAAGCCAACCCCAGATTCACTCTTATTTTGTGAAAAGATTTGTCCACTTTGCATTTTGCCTATATTTGCCTTTTTTTCGGCGGTGTATCCACCATTTTCGTACCTTTCTCTTGGATACATGCTTGTGCATTCAAGGGGACTAAACACGCAGTGCCCAAAAGCTGCGTCCAGAAACATCCCGAACACAGCAAAATAAGAAAAACACAGGCAGAGGGTAGCGTCTCTAGATCCAGACATCGCCACACACTAATCGGTCATAAGTGATGTGAGTCTATAACTTGGTTTCAGGGAAATTATTTTTATAATATGTATATGTGACAATTCATGAACATACCCACATATTCGGGGAATCATTTTGTTGAACTTGACCAACTCACTCAACCTGTTTTGCGTAGGCTGAGTGAGTAGTTCAAGTTCAACTAAATCATTGCAATTATTAATATTATTGCAAATACTCTTCAAACCTTTGTAGGCGGACTATCCAAGTATGGCGCGACCAAAAAGGTCCATCTATTGAACTTCTATCAAATGTGTAAATAAAAAATAGGTGAGAAACCTTGAGTAAAAGTAAAATGTCTATTGTTGGGTATATATAATGCAATATCGTACATTGTTTAGACATTCATAAAAAGTAAAATTAAATTGAAAAAAATAATAATAATCAATTCCAATTTCATCATATTATCATAAAATGTTGCTTACAGCATGAACAGACTATTATCTAGTAACATATTCATTGCTTTGTTTGCTTGTTTTGAAAAGACAATCACATTGAACATGATGTGCAGCCTCAATCTAAAACCCCAGAAAGCATCAGTTTAACTGAAAATGTCGTTAATCCACCCAAATGCAAAGATACATAAAGTAAACCTTTGTATCAAAACACAAACAAGAGACAACTCTTTAAATCCAATCATGTGGTGAATAGATGCCATGGCATTACACATTTGCAATTATCATAACAAGTATATTCCCTAATATAAACTTACCACCCACTGTATAAATCGTTAGTATATTATAAACAGAGACAGCACTATCCAATAGGAATCAAAGCTCATACCTGAACGACGTTAAAGCGGCCTTGCCCTCAAGGTAAATTCAGCTGGGAAGGTTCATTATGAAAGCTCATCAAGCCCAACCCATCTGCTGCACCCTGAAAGGTGCAGAGTCCTCATGTTGTATCTGAGTGAAAAATAAACCGAACAAAGAGGCAATAAAAAACAAATTTCAGAAGATTATGCCCTTTCCCCATTGTATCCTAAAAAAGATGTTGCATGCTAGGATTCAGAATCGAAGCAGAAACATTGGCATTTGTAAAAAACTCATGTAGCTTTGCTTGCTCAAAAGAACAATGAGACCTTTGGCTGTGACCCTTTTCTTCCCTTTTCTATCCTTATATCTTTAAATCTCTGTGTTTTTACGTCAGTGACAGCACCAGGCTCAAAGGCTACGGTGTCTGTATGGGGTCATGTATCAGGCTTGCCGCGGGGTCGTGAGGACATTAAGGAGCGTGATACAGTGTGTCTGTCATTCTGAGTGCTGCAGCTGCACTGCTGTGACTTCCTTGGCTGGGCTGTCCACATCCACATTTCACAGCTCCAACGTGACTGCTGCAATGAGACAAGACATTGCAGCGTCTCAGTGCCAAGTCCTCGCACAACCACTTGCTCCCTCTCAGAGAAGAGCATCTGGAGCCTGGCTGCCGCTTCCCGATTTGCTTGGGTCATCCCCCAGACTACGTCATCACAGAGGACATCAGGCTGCACTCTCCATAAATTAAATCTGGGACTGCATTTACACAGGGACAGACAATGTGGGTTTAACTCTTGAGGCACAGATCCAACTTTGTCACAGCTACACTGTATCTTAAGAGGGAAATGTTATCTTTTCTTCAGTTTTCTATTTTCTATTCAAGTAGTGTCACCTTGCCATGACTCCATTACATTGGATTTTGTTCAAGTGTGAACCAGCCAAAGGGAGTGTAACGAAATACAAAAACACCTGCACTTAAACATGTTTAGATCATCTCTACTGTATTTTAACCACCATCCCGTATCACAATGTGTGTGCACAGGACCACATGTTTGGAAATTTGTATTCTGCAGGTTCTTGTTTTCAATAATTCATCATTGATGTGTATTGATTTTCTATCACAGGGACCCAGGCTTGACCTCTTCAGTGAAGTATGGTGTGCTTCAACAGCTGCCCTGCCCCCCCCCCCCCACAACTTAATCCTGAAATTTAAACAACACTGCCATCACAATGTGGCAGGTTTTACTTCTCTAAGGGGACACCTTACTGGTTTCCATTTAGAGTGCCTGAACACTGTTATGACACAAAGAGCTCCCATGTATTTAGAACAATGTACAAATATAACATGTAGGTCCATGTGAATATGACAAAAATATTCAGGGAATATATAAAGACCCCATGTTTTCAGTAAAGCTCCCTCACATTACATGTTTAGGAATCACATATTATAAAATAGTCCAAATAGTAGTAAATGGACATACTAAGCACTTCTTTTGGTTATTAAGGGGCCCCTGCTGGTAGGACCTTGGACCTTTGTGTGGGGGAATATTATCTCTTTTCATGCCAAACCGAATTAAACATGCCCCCAACCAGACTGGAACTGAGTCATTCAAAACCATTTCCAGCGCGGTGGTGCAGCCCTTACCCGAGAGGAGAGAAAAAGGAGGCAAAGTTTGCTCATAGATTGGCTGATCAAGCTCTAAGCTCATGTGACGTAGGCTAGCTGATACTCTTCACTCCGGCTGTCTTCATTAACTTGAAACCTCTCAGTTTGTATGATACACCGGCTATCATGCGTTTTCACTTCAGCCGAAGGAGTTGCCGTAACCCTCCCGGCATCCGTGACGAACCCGCCACCATTTATAGCCTCGCGGTGACAAACAATCTTATTATGAGATTTAAACTTTGCCTCGACTAGACCGGAGGATCAACATGCGCTTCTCTCGCACTTATTCCCCCGCAATTTCCCAACTGACACAATAATACCAAGCTATACCTACCCGCCTCCTTTGACTGTGTTTAAACGCCGGTGTCAGCTCTCGGTGTAATAGAAAAACCCAAGCAGGGCTCCGGGTCTGCTCAGCATAAATAAAGGTGAGCAGTGAGAGGAGCTCAGCCCTGAATTAAATCACTCATCGCTAAATGGATCTGTGAGACTCTCTCTTGACGCAGTCAGCCGCTGCTTCGTGCGCCTTCAACCCGAAGACAGAAAACTGGGATTCTTTTTTTTTAAATTTTACTTTTTATTTTGTCTAACAGAAATATCTCCTGTGTCGCTGAAAATGCCTTGTGGTGACATGCAGTAAGCTGCCAGCTTTGTATCGGGAAGAGGCTTTTGCTCCGTGATCGTCAAGCAGGTAAGCTGTTAACAGTGTCGCTACATTTTGTTTTGACTTAAATATCGCAGACTTTGCAGATAGCACACTGTACTTTATGTCTTTTGCATTCACACGGGGTAGCGGTAATGGTTGAAATTGAATGCTTTCAAGAATATTTGAATAGTATTGCTCGGATGTTGTGCAGAACCAAACAGTAACTCTTCTACCACCAAGAGCATACACACCGTACGAAATGCACAGCTGAACTTGTGCACCATTACGCCGAAAGTCGGTGCATTTTACGCTCGTTTCTTTGCGAGATCTTTGCCAGCTGACTGTGAACGGGACATGGACTGCGGTTCTTATGTTACAGATAGTGTTTTACCTTTCTTTCTTTTTTTAAGTTGTATCATTCTGAATATTAATTGAAGTGAATAGCTGTGCATTTTAGGACACGGTAGCTTCCACCTGATCCGGCTCCAGAGAAAGTAGTTCGCAGCTGTAGACCTCCAGTAACACCGCCCGCTGGAGATGTGGCTTCAGCACCACGGACAGCTCCCCGGCCGCTTCAGCTCAGCCTAAACTTTATTTCAGAGATTTACACAAAGAAACTGACTATTCACTTCTGAGTGACAACTCATGGTAATGTATTTATATTTATACATGTAAAATATTAAAATATCTCCATTAAGTCATAACAAACGGTATGATTCTGACAATTTAATGACCAGGGCATTGCATGGCCTGAACCTATTATGTTGTCAATACACAGTCTTGTACTTCCAGTACAGTAGCCCTGGCGGGTTCTCACTCAGATTAGCTGAGGATTTTGCTGCGTCTGTGCCATCTGTCTGGGAAATGCTATACTATATACTGCACGCTAGATGTGTTGATTTTTTTGAATTGTACATGGCTTCATATGGATTTATTTCTTTTTGTTTTAGTCATAGGCCTATAATTCTAAATATGTTTATCCATCTCTGAATGAAGAAAATGAGGAGGAGGAGGAGGAGGAGGAGGAGGAAGAGGTGGTGGTATCGGTAGGGATCTGTTGCCCAAAGCATTGGGGTTAAAAAAAATGCTGAAACAGTGCCAGGTTTACAGGACATCGGACACACGACAGCCAGAGAAAGCCCATACTGTAGGAACAATTCTCTGACTTTCCACTCAGCTGCACTATGGACATAGGAGTAGGAGTGCTGTATCATCTCTGTTCTGGTTAAATAATGGTACTGTCTTGGTGACATTTAAAGCCAGGAAAGCCTTTAAAATATAAAGCTGAAACAATCTGTTTCATGCCACTGAACTGCATGCATTCTATTGTCAGCGGTTGCCCTCGTTCCAGTCATTTCACGCAGAAGATCAGTCTCAGCTTAGCCTTTACCGTCAGTGTGAATCACTGTCTTACTTCTTCTAACTTTTAACGTCTTGAGTTATGACCGTTTCAAAACATCTTAGTTTTGCTGCTTTTGCTAAAGCTTTCTCTCGCATTAGCCTTCGCATCTCCCTTTTCCTGTCCCCGTCTCCCTTATCTTGATTATGCAGCTGGATGATTGAGTCAGCTATTTTGTATGCAAGTTGCTTTAGCTTGGTTCTTTGTGGAGGAGAGAGAGAGAGAGAGAGAGAGAGAGAGAGAGAGAGAGAGAGAGAG